AGGTCAACCTCAGCAGACCAGCGGAGCCGGGACGGCCCACCCTTCAACAGGGAGGTAATGGGAGCTGCGACCTTGCCAAAGCCCCGGATATACCTCCGATAATAGTTGGCAAAGCCAAGGAAGCGCTGCACATCCTTAACTGTGGTTGGAGTCGGCCAATTATGCACGGCTGAAATGCGATCTCCCTCCATCTCCACACCTGAGGTGGAAATGCGATATCCAAGGAAGGAGACGGACTGCTGGAAAAACATACACTTCTCTGCCTTAGCATAAAGGTCATTTTCCAACAGTCGGGCCAGCACCTTGCGAACCAGGGATACATGCTCGGCGCACGTAGCGGAATACACCAGGATGTCATCGATGTAGACCACTACACCGCGACCAAGCATGTCCCGAAACACCTCGTTCACAAAGGACTGGAAAACGGAGGGAGCATTCATCAAACCATAGGGCATCACCAGGTATTCATAATGCCCCGTGGTTGTGCTGAATGCTGTCTTCCACTCATCTCCCTCTCGGATATGCACCAGGTTGTACGCACTCCTGAGATCTAATTTGGTGAAGAAGCGCGCCCCATGCATTGACTGAATCACTGAAGGAATGAGGGGGAGAGGATAACTAAATATTATCGTCTCCCTGTTCAGTGGTCGATAATCAATGCACGGGCGCAGACCTCCATCCTTCTTCTTCACAAAGAAGAAACTCAAGGAGGCGGGTGAAGTGGAGGGACGTATATACCCCTGGCGCAGGGACTCGGTGACATATGTTTCCATAGCCACCATTTCAGCCTGTGACAGGGGGTATACAGTGGGGGAAAAAAAGTATTTAGTCAGCCACCAATTGTGCAAGTTCTCCCACTTAAAAAGATGAGAGAGGCCTGTAATTTTCATCATAGGTACACGTCAACTATGACAGACAAATTGGGGGGGGGAAAATCCAGAAAATCACATTGTAGGATTTTTTATGAATTTATTTGCAAATTATGGTGGAAAATAAGTATTTGGTCACCTACAAACAAGCAAGATGTCTGGCTCTCACAGACCTGTAACTTCTTCTTTAAGAGGCTCCTCTGTCCTCCACTCGTTACCTGTATTAATGGCACCTGTTTGAACTTGTTATCAGTATAAAAGACACCTGTCCACAACCTCAAACAGTCACACTCCAAACTCCACTATGGCCAAGACCAAAGAGCTGTCAAAGGACACCAGAAACAAAATTGTAGACCTGCACCAGGCTGGGAAGACTGAATCTGCAATAGGTAAGCAGCTTGGTTTGAAGAAATCAACTGTGGGAGCAATTATTAGGAAATGGAAGACATACAAGACCACTGATAATCTCCCTCGATCTGGGGCTCCACGCAAGATCTCACCCCGTGGGGTCAAAATGATCACAAGAACGGTGAGCAAAAATCCCAGAACCACACGGGGGGACCTAGTGAATGACCTGCAGAGAGCTGGGACCAAAGTAACAAAGCCTACCATCAGTAACACACTACGCCGCCAGGGACTCAAATCCTGCAGTGCCAGATGTGTCCCCCTGCTTAAGCCAGTACATGTCCAGGCCCATCTGAAGTTTGCTAGAGTGCATTTGGATGATCCAGAAGAGGATTGGGAGAATGTCATATGGTCAGATGAAACCAAAATAGAACTTTTTGGTAAAAACTCAACTTGTCGTGTTTGGAGGACAAAGAATGCTGAGTTGCATCCAAAGAACACCATACCTACTGTGAAGCATGGGGGTGGAAACATCATGCTTTGGGGCTGTTTTTCTGCAAAGGGACCAGGACGACTGATCCGTGTAAAGGAAAGAATGAATGGGGCCATGTATCGTGATATGTTGAGTGAAAACCTCCTTCCATCAGCAAGGGCATTGAAGATGAAACGTGGCTGGGTCTTTCAGCATGACAATGATCCCAAACACACCGCCCGGGCAACGAAGGAGTGGCTTCGTAAGAAGCATTTCAAGGTCCTGGAGTGGCCTAGCCAGTCTCCAGATCTCAACCCCATAGAAAATCTTTGGAGGGAGTTGAAAGTCCGTGTTGCCCAGCGACAGCCCCAAAACATCACTGCTCTAGAGGAGATCTGCATGGAGGAATGGGCCAAAATACCAGCAACAGTGTGTGAAAACCTTGTGAAGACTTACAGAAAAGGTTTGACCTGTGTCATTGCCAACAAAGGGTATATAACAAAGTATTGAGAAACTTTTGTTATTGACCAAATACTTATTTTCCACCATAATTTGCAAAAAATTCATACAAAATCCTACAATGTGATTTTCTGGATTTTTTCCCCTCCTTTTGTCTGTCATAGTTGACGTGTACCTATGATGAAAATTACAGGCCTCTCTCATCTTTTTAAGTGGGAGAACTTGCACAATTGGTGGCTGACTAAATACTTTTTTCCCCCACTGTATATGACTCCTGGAAGGTACAGCGTCTACCCGGAGGTTTATTGCACAATCCCCCGCCCGATGAGGTGGTAATTGAATAGCCTGCGTTTTCGAGAACGCTTGCGCCAGATCTAGCTATTCAGGGGGAATGCGCACAGTGGAGGTACTGTCTGGACTTTCCACCGTGGTTGCACCAACGGAAACACCTAGACACCTACCCTGACACTCTCGCGACCACTCCGTGAGAACCCTCTGCGGCCATGAAAAGGTGGGGTTGTGGAGTGCTAGCCAAGGGATACCTAATACCACAGGGAAAGCAGGAGACTCAATAATGGTAAAAGTCACCTGCTCACAATGATTCTCCAGGGTAATCATGGTGACTGGTGCAGTAACTTCCTTAACCAACCCTGACCCTAATGGTCGACAATCAAGTGCTCTGATGGGGCGTGGAATGGATAGGGGAATCAATGGAATGCCTATACAGTGTGCGAATGCCCTGTCCATAAAGTTCCCAGCTGCGCCTGAATCGACTAGCGCCTTACACTGGGGAACATCCATGTGCTCAGGAAAGGAGATGAGTATTTTACAGTGCACAGCAGAGGGCTCTGAACGAGTGTGGGTGTTCGATACCTGGGGTGATGCGAGAGTGCCCTGCCTGCCACCTCCAGGACCAAAAGAACGTTGACTAAGACGTGTGGTGAAATGTCCCTTCGTGCCACCAGAGTGGCACTGTCACTGTCGTCCTCCGCTCTCTCGGCCGGCGGCTCCACCCAGCTCCATCGGCTCGAGGTCCGAGTCTTTCGGGGTGGAAACGGGCAGACCCCTACCAGGACGTCCTCTGGCTGCCAGCAGGGTGTCCAACCGAATGGCCATGTCCACCAGTTTATCAAAGGACAACATGGTGTCCCGGCAGGCTAGCTCCCGTCGGACGTCCTGCCGCAGATGGCACCGGAAATGGTCGATCAGGGCCCGCTCATTCCACCCGGACCCCGCTGCCAGCGTCCGGAACTCCAACGCGAAGTCCTGCGCGGTCCTCTCCCCCTGCCTCAGGTGGACCAGTCGCTCACCCGCCTCTCGACCCTCGGGTGGGTGGTCGAATACCGCCCGAAAGAAGTGAGCGAACTCCCTGTAGTCCTCCAACACGGCTCCTCCCTCGTTCCACACCGCGTTGGCTCACTCCAGGGCTTTCCCACAGAGGCAGGAAACGAGGACGGACACTTTCTCCCGCTCCGATGGTGCCGGCCTGATGCTGGCAAAGTAAAGCTCCAAGTGGAGGAGGAATCCCTGGCACAGCGCCGCTGTCCCCTCAAACGCCTGTGGTCGAGATATCTGGATCCCTCCTGGTGCTGGGGTGTAGGTGGCTGGATCCGGTTGGCCAGCTGGTCTCGACAGATCGGGTCTGGTCCTCTCCAGGCATTGGACGACCTGAAGAACCCAACCCATCGCTTCCCCCAAGCTGGCCAGCATCGTGGAGTGCTCCTGGACCTGTGCCACAACTCCAGGCATGCACTCTTCTCCTGCTGACTCCATAGCGGGTGGGTGATTCTGTGATGCGTGTGATAGAAGGAGTCAGGCGCAGGAGAGTAATACGCATCCAAAGAGTTTATTCCGTCGATAAACAGTTGCGCAAGCATGTGACAACAACACTCAGGCACAGGGGAAAATACTACCCTGGCAACAACAAGGTAAGGGTAGCTCAACCGAGCTACACACAGCTCACAACAAACAATCACCCACACAGACAAGGAAGCAGAGGGAACATTTATACAATGACTAATTGGGGATAAGGACCAGGTTTGTGTGATAAATTAGACAAGACAAGTGTGGTGATGATAAATGGATTGGCAGCAGCTAGTAAGCCGGTGACGACAAACGCCGAAACCTGCCCGAACAAGGAGGGGAGGCAGCCTCGGCGGAAGTCGTGACAGTAGGTGGTTTTATTATAGGGTCCAAACAATATTGCCTGATGACTCATACTAAATTTAATTTGACTGCTCTATTTGTCATGGTGTAGAAGACATTTTAGTGGGCGTGGCATTTGGACGGAGTGATGCGGATTGGTAGCCAGGCAAGAAAAAATAAATCAGCAGCTGAAACAATGGGTCAGTGTTTTGCATGGTTGGGTGCCCCGGTTGGGTGGAGATTTCACTTAAGGGCCAATGGAATGGTCTAAAATGTTTGAACTCCGCCCAGCCAGTGCACCGGGCCATGCAAAACGAACTTGCTCACTCCTCTTTGTTTTGGGAGGGGACTAGCCTAGTGTATCATGTGTGAGGGAGGAAAGCCCTTGGGCAAGATGAGGCTAATGCTACTAATTGGCTAGAGATATGAGAGCACTCCCTCATCTCTTTCTCTGCTCAGACAAGTTATTTATGAGCGAGTGGTGAAATCAAAACCTGTATCAACATTAGAGAACTTATCTGGTTTAACTGCTGTCTCTCCACAGAGACCTTATTTGACACATGATCCCTAACTCTTATCTTTAATCTTTCTATCAGTTCGAAGTGGCAAGGAGTGGAATGTTAGCACAAAACAGGTCTGGATTCCAGGCTATCCTAGGGACAGGTATCAAAGTTGAATGGCAAGTTTTTCCCGCCCCATATCTTTATAGCATGGCGTACCACCCTGAGTTTAAGAGGGCCGGGAAGAAGCCTGGCCTCCAGGTGTGGAGAGTTGAGAGTCTGGACCTGGTGGCCGTGCCAGAGAGTCTGCATGGCGGGTTCTACTCAGGGGACGCATACCTTGTTCTCAATACCATCAAGCAACGTTCTGGGCATCTACAGTATGACCTTCACTTCTGGCAAGGTATAACTTGATCTGATCAGAATTACTTTATTTCTTGAAATGTTGTACAGTGTTTGTACATGTCAGTCCAGTGATGTGTGTTCATGCACTTTTAAAATTGAAATCCATTCCATTATTTGTGAAAATAATGTTTGAAATGTGACCAATCATTATTTCTCTGGTCCTACAGGAGATGACTGTACACAAGATGAGAGTGGAGCAGCAGCCATTTTTACCATTCAAATGGATGACTACCTGGGTGGCAAACCTATTCAGTACCATGAGGTGCAGGGTTATGAGTCAAGAACATTTTCAGGCTACTTCAAAACTGGACTGAAGTACATGGTAATGTTCAAAGACGTGTAAAAAGAAACAAAGGAAGTCGCACAGTCTACATATGCTCCCAACAATTTAATGTGTAAGCCAACGTTTTGGCCCACAGTCTCTTCTTCAGTGTTCACAGTACCTTCTACTCAAGAAGGAACTGTGTGCTGGGTAGAAGGTATTGTGGGCCAAAACGTTGGTTTACCTGTTAAATTGTTGGGAGCATACTGTATGTATAGAGTATGCGATAATTTATTTATTTTGACACAGTTTACTATTCCGTTAGTCAGCACCTCCACCAACATGTTGGGGTGTGCGTCAGCTCATGCTTTTTACTGGAATGTTGAAAGACATTCAATACGTTTGTTATATGTATTTACTTATCTCAAGAACTCCTCCACTTATCTTATTGATTATCTTCCCAATCTTTACCTTAGAAAGGGGGTGTGGCTTCAGGGTTCAAGCATGTGGTGTCCAATGAGGTGAAGGTGCAGCGTGTGCTCCAGGTCAGGGGTCGGCATGTGGTTCGAGCCACAGAGGTAGCAGTCAGTTGGGACAGCTTCAACCAGGGAGACATCTTTATCCTCGACCTGGGCAAAGTAAGTTCACTGAAATCTATAACAGAGTTTCTACAGCAATCTATTTATCTATATTACTGATTTAATTTAGTGGAATTGTCTTTGTACACTGTAGGCTAAGACTGTATAGTAATTGCCCATGTTGTTAGCAAACTGTTATTGTAAGCAATCTACTTTGAAACCAATATTGTTTTGGTCATGAATAATTTAAAAGCTCATTTGTATACGTTGAGCTATACTTTAACATAGTCAACAGGCAGAGGAGTTAGAGTTCCAGTACTACACTTGGTCCACTGTACTGATAATCTTCACTCGTCGTATTACAGGAGATTTATCAATGGTGTGGTTCCAAGGCCAATCACTTTGAGAAGCTGAAGGCCACTCAGGTGTCAAAGGATATCCGTGACAACGAGCGATGTGGACGGGCTGAGTTGTACATATGTGACGAGGGGGCAGAACGTGAGAAGATGCTGGAGGTGAGTCTTTCACTGAGGAGTAAGGGAATGGAAACAATGGTTCATTTCTATACACTTCAAGTCATGCAACTGTTTATATGCTCCCAATAAACATCTATAGTTAGTTACCTTTTAACATATTGGTGATCATTCGCTGTGAGATGCCTGACTCTCGTTGTCTCGTTCCAGATTCTTGGACCCAAACCCGATTTGCCTGAGGCAAATACAGATGACACAAATACAGACGTGTCCAATAGGAAGCTGGCGAAATTATACAAGGTCAGATCAATTTTCGAAATAAACAATTTAATCATTAACTATTATGTAATAAGCAGTTTTTGAGCAGACCTTCAAATACAAATATTAAATTGAAATGTTTTCCCCAAAGGTATCTAATGCCAGTGGGGATATGGGCATGGATATGGTAGCATCAGAGAACCCGTTTTCACAGAATGCCCTGGAGTCAAATGACTGCTTTATCCTGGACAATGGCCCCAATGGCATGATCTTTGTCTGGAAAGGTATTGGTTTCTTTGTAGCGGCTGGTCTGACTTCTTTTGACTGTAAAACCCCAAGCTTTAATCTTCCTTTAGATTAGACACTACTTTTCAATACTGTTGTGCCTGGAAGTAATCACTCACTTAGTTCTTCTGCCTTTGCAGTTTAATCATGAGTTTATTTTGAATAAAAACAGGTAAGGCTGCTAACAAAGAGGAGAGAAGTGCGGTGATGAGTGCTGCCGAACAGTTTATCACAAAGATGGGCTACCCGAAGCACACCCAGGTCCAGATCCTACCTGAGAATGGGGAGACCCCTCTGTTCAAGCAGTTCTTCAAAATCTGGCGTGACGCGGACCATACAGTGGGGTTGGGAACAGCCTACGTGTCCAACAAAATCGCCAAGATCAAGAAGGTGCCCTTCGATGCCTCCACTCTCCATCACTCGGACGCCATGGCGGCTCAGCATGGGATGGTGGACGAGGGGAATGGAGAGAAGCAGGTGAGGAAAATGTTTTTTTGGGGGGATACTGGGGTTTTCTGAGTAAACACCATATGTGGTAGATGGTAGTTACCCTTAAATATTATGTGTCAAGGTTTAGGGTAGTCATGTGTCCTCAGTAAAGGGATACATACAGCCCCTAAGGGTTACGACTGCGGGGCCTGCACACCCACAAAAAAGGTGTCACAATCTCAGAAACAAGCCTTTGAGAAAAGAGCTGCAAGGGGTGTTACCTTTTTCCATTCATGGACCCTTTTCCATTAATGGACTACTACTAGTAAGAGCTGTATTTACCTGTTAACCTTCGTAGATCTGGCGTATTGAGGGAGCTGACAAGGTGCCTGTGGAGCCCTCCACCTATGGACGATTCTATGGAGGAGACAGCTACATCATCCTCTACAACTACCAGCATGGAGGCCGTAACGGACAGGTCATCTACATGTGGTAAAGACCATGGAGATTATCCTTCTGTAAGCGACCGCAGGAAGCTTTACTATGTGTTATTACACAGTCTTACAGCAAAAACTGCTATCGCCCCTGTATCGGTACAGTCGGCTTCATCATTTATGAGCACCAGGGCTTTTGCTACATACTGTATTAGACACATCTGAACCAACTATATACTGTATGACATAACATAAGCACAACTGTATGTGAATAGCACTTGAATAGTACTATTTTCCACAGGCAAGGAGTGGATTCTAGCCAGGATGAAATTGGAGCCTCTGCCATCTTGGCTGCTCAGCTGGATGACGAGTTGGGAGGAGGGGCAGTACAGGTGACTGGATCGTTTTGATTTATCGCAGTCTGGCCCGGATTATACGGTCCAGATAATGTTTAATCAAGATGCTCTGGATTACAGAATTGAACAATATTAGTCAGTTTTTTTGTCTGCAGATGCTGGATCTATATGAATACCTTTCCATGGTCATGGTTATCAACAGGGTCAGAGCTTTGGTCTGTAAAATGAAATGAGGGAAGGTTAGGTTTAAAGCCAGGTATATGACACTATGATTTTCGATCTGTCTGTTTCTACCGTGTTGAAGGTGCGGGTGATCCAGGGTAAGGAGCCCGCCCACCTCATGAGTCTTTTCGGGGGGAAGCCGATGGTAGTGCACCAGGGTGGTACCTCCAGAGAGGGTGGCCAGGCCCACGCTGCAGACACACAGCTGTTCCAGGTGCGGTCCAATGCTGCTGGCTGCACACGCGCCATAGAGGTGAGTAACAGGAGATGGAAGGTGAGGTGGGAAGAGCTCAATAAAGGAAGCAAACAAGCCGAAACAGGGAAGGACTAACCTGAACTTGTCCAATAAGAAAGGCTTGTTAGTTCATTACAAAATGTCTTTGCTACGGTGTACACTAATATACCCCAGTAGATAGAGTGGAGTAGCCAGCCCTTATGATGTATGGTCGGTTTGTTGGTGAAGCTGACTACAGTCCGTTTGCTACTGCAGAACTGTAGTTAGTACCTCCAGTGTACAGTATTTTTCACTGCCTCCTCTCTTCCTCTCTCCACTCAAGGTTGATGCTGCTGCCTCAAATCTGAACTCCAACGATGCCTTTGTGCTGGTGACCCCGGCATCCTCCTTCATATGGGTGGGAAAGGGGACAAGTGACAGTGAGAAGCATGGAGCTCAAAAGCTAAGTGACCTTCTAGGGGTCTCGGCCTCAGAGCTGGATGAAGGTGAAGAAGCAGGTACATAGGGAAATCCTGTCAGCAGTCAAATTCACTAGGAAATGGTGTTTAGCCATTAGCCACAGAATGTTACTTATGAGGATACAAGACAAAGCTTATTCATCCGCTCCATATTCTTCCAGATCCACAATTGTATGTATGTGTTTGTGTGTCAAGATGACTTTTGGGATGCTCTGGGAGGTAAAGCGGACTACCATACCTCAGCCAGACTGAAAAACAAAATGGACGTTCATCCACCACGCCTGTTTGCCTGCTCCAACAAAACTGGCCAGTTCATTGTGAGTCTGCCCTTCTTTTATAACTATAGTATAGCATTTTCCAGCTTACTTTGCTGCATTCCTGTTTACATTATTTGAATATCCATTTGGACAAATTCAGTTTCCTCTGCTAATGAAATAGCCTTTGATCCACATTTTTTTACGTAACAGTGTGTGAAACCATTTCCTTGTCCTCCGGAATGTGCACTGACCTGGCCCGTTGTCAAAATGCCACAATACTATTTCCACAGATTGAAGAGGTGCCTGGGGAGATGACACAAGAAGACCTGGCCCCAGATGATGTCATGCTCTTGGACACCTGGGAACAGGTGACTAGTAGAGGGATTGTCAAGGTGCAACCAGAGCCACGTTCAGTAGCCGAACGTTGTAGAAATGCCATGAATAGAGCCAACGCGATTCTTTATTCCACATGTCAGAGGGGCATGTTTGTTCTGCATAGCATATTTCGATCTGAACGTTCTATCCTACTGAAAGTGCCTCATGTTTTTTGCGAATAATGCACACCTGTTGATTCGCTAAACATTTTCCGTATACCCTTCAGATCTTTGTTTGGATCGGTGATGAAGCTCATGAGGAGGAGAAGACCGAGGGTATGGCCTCAGGTAAGCAATGGTGGTTATAAAACAAGATCACATAATTACCTGATAAAAGTGCCGCAGGGAACTTAAATGTGCCGTTTCATGAAATGAACTGTTCTTTCTCTCCTCTTGCCTACTGCCTGTTCTGTGGTCAGCTGTTCGTTACATAGAGACAGACCCTACCAAGCGGGACAGCAGTACGCCCATAGTGAAGTTAAAGCAAGGGCATGAGCCTCCCACGTTCACTGGCTGGTTCTTGGGCTGGGACCATGGGTACTGGAGCAGTGATCCCCTTGAACGGGCCATGGCTGGTCTGTGTGTCTGAACCCCTCCAGGGTGAGGGTTCCCCTAGGGGCAACTTCACCCAAAGCTTCTACTTGACTCATTTGTGCAACTAACTAGGTATCCCCTTTCAACTGTTAGACTGGGTACCAATTTGTGATGGATAATATACTCTCTTGACGCTGTTTTGATCTTAGGGTTTTCTTGGAGAGAGAAAATCTTCATGTAATCCACACTACACAGTTTAGTTATTTCCTTTCCTTCTACGCTAATACTGTTAGCCCATGTATCTTTAGCAGTACGTTACTACATCTGTAATAAATGGGACAAGGATTTCTTCACTTCTGTAGCATGCCGGGTTCAGATATTCCTGTTTCTTGTGCAGACTGGGTTTCCATCACGACTCAAAGGGTATGTCATGTCCATCAAACATGCTGACAGTGGACGGAAACAGAAAAACATCAACAAAGCACAACTGGAAGCAGTCAAATATATTCACAAAACTAAATAACATGTATGACGCTCTACACCAGTTGTCAGCTCTTTTAATAGCAGTCAATAGCTAAGAGGTTTTGATTTAGTGATTTTCATTAAAAAATGCTCGCATTGGATGAAGACCAGCCAATCATGACAGCGCAACTAGAACCAATGAGACATTTTTTCAAATAAATAAAAGGGGATTCTATAAAAATGTAACCTGTTAAGAGATTTTGCAAACACACAATACAGAACAAGACAATTATATAGCTGGTTACCAGAGTATTCACCAAATCCCCAAGAATGCATTAAATCAAAGTGAATCGTTATGGGGGTGACGACATTGTAATGTCTTACAGAAACCCAAAAGTTAATCGTCATTAACCACCTCCATGAATGAGCCGAATCCTTAATTGTGTGACAGAGAGGGGCACACTGCTACCCCCCCCCCCCCCCCCCCCCCCCCCCCCCCCCCCCCCCCCGTGGGGCATTGAGCCTCCTTGAGCCAGATCCATGTGTGCTTTGTGTATTCATCAACTGTTCTCAACCTCACTGTAGTAGTTGCTGTCCTCCTCATTATCAAAGATCTCAGAGAGTAGGAAGAGCTCTTGTGGATCGTTTCTGGGCACCACTTCTCCTGATTTTATCAGAACATTCAGTTGCTCTTCAAAATTGGGGAGAACTCTACTGTTGAGGAAGTCAATGATCTCTGAAAAGAAAATACAGAAATTAAATCAGTAAATGGTTCCAGCAAACAAGGTGCGTGCCAAATGGCACCCTAGTCCCTATATAGTATAATATTTTTTACCAGGGCCCATTGTCAAATGGAGTGCGCTTTATAGGGAATAGGTGTGATTTGGGACAAAATCAAAGCTCTCTTCCCCAAAGCATCATTATATTTAAACAGTACGGTCAAGGGGGACCTAGTGACATTTCCTCTCCCTTTATGTCGTCACTGATCATAGTGATTCACATGTAACTATTCTAATGAAATGCTAAAAACCTAGCGATAGAGAATATTGTGTGGTCGCCTGGGGTGGTACAGTGGTCTAAGCTGCTTCCTCGGGCTCACAGGTACTGTGTACTACTGCTGTGAGCATGGGTTTGAATCTGACCCACTGCTCAATCCTCCCATCTACTTCTCTCTTTCTATCCTGTCCAATAAACAAGAATTACAAAAGGAGTGGGTCTGCCCTACTCCTTTAAAAATAATAGAAGAGGCTAGTGTGTATATAACAGTAGTTTACACCTACCACAGAAGGACCTGCTCTCCCACAATGGAACATTGGCTACTTTTAGTATGTAGTAATGCGTCTGTACGTAGCGAGGAGTAACATCCCTTAAAGGATAAGATCAAATACAAATGTTAGCACATAGCACTGCATTACAACACACATACATCACACTGACATGCACTGTTGCATTCCACACTCCTAGAAGATAGAACACGTTTTGTAAGAGCTTTGTCATGCATTGATATAATTCAATGACATCTCAGCGTTGTATTGAGAGACTTGACAATCTAAAAGTTAATACTAACACAACACAAAACCTTAATCAGTGAAAATGTCAAATTACATAAACGTAACAAGGTAATCTATGACACATTGTCTAAAATGACCTATAATCTGAGTTTAATAACAACTTCTTACCCAATTGTGTGAGCAATTTCTTCCCAGTTGATATCTGCAGCATCTTCCACCTGCATTGCATTCAACCTGAAAGGTCAAAAATTACATGAATAAAAGTTCACCATGCAACAGTTTCACATGAAGATATCAGGACCAAAACTCTACCTTTTGTCCTGTGTATCACGACAGTGCAGAAAGGTCCAAGTCAACGTCACTAGACTGGGCTAATAAATCTTAAACAAAGTATCAAAAAACAGATTCACCATTGCATAGATTGAATGGAAATCAACACACTTACACTTTGATCAAATCCACTTTGCCCTGTAAGGATTTCGTGCCTCCACTGAACACTGGTTGTTCATATGCCATTTTGTGCTTCAAAACAGTCAACCTGGAAAAGAAGGATCAAAGATACAGCCTCAAAAGTTCTGAATCTGAACGCTTGTGTAAACAATTCAATGAGAACGGTTTGTTTTGTAACAGCTACCCCTGAAACCCCCTACCCACCATTTTGCTCGACACTGGGACCAGTGGCGCGTTTCAACCGTCTGGCCCACATCTGTCCAGGGGATGTTGTTGTACAGCTTGTCTTTCCTAATGATGGCCGGTCCACTGCCAGGCTCTGCCTGTCCCACCAGGTGCTTCCGCACAGCTTCCATTAGTCTTTTCAGTTCTTCCTCGGTCCACGCACCTCTGTTTGCAGCTGAGAAATACACACCAAACAAAGCGAGAGCATTGCCCCAGGTCATACAATGTTAACAACCATTTTCCCAAAAAGATGAGTGGAGCAGGATGTTCGGCAAGGATGTCAGAGTCAATATATTAAAGCTGTAATCAGTGAAACTGCCACATTTGTTTGGGATATTATAAAGTTACTTCAAACACTTTTTTTCTCCCTTTGGCCATCATTGCATGCGTGATAGATCTGCAGAATAATTGTTTTTACCATGATGCTGGACATCCTCTCTTCTGTTTCATCAAATAGACAAAAACAATAACTAAGATGCTGGGGCGAACAGTGGCAATGTGTCACCTTATGCAGATTCCAGCTTTAAATTCCCAAAGTTCCCAATGACTTACACATCTGAGCAAAACGTTTCTCAAGGGCCGTTTCGCTTCGGCCAGTCAACTGCGAGATCGTCGCCCACTTGTTGCCGTGCAACGTCTGCAGTTTTTTCAAAGAGTGAAGTTCTTCTTTGGTGAACCTTCGGTAAGGAAATCAAGGAAATAAGCTTTCAAAGTGGCGCAATATGTCTGCAAAATGTTAGCAAACCGTAAAGTGGTTATATCAGAACAATAGCACAGTTGTGAACACTGTAATTAAAGAAAATGCAAATATAATATTACTATACTTTCGTACACTGTATATAGAGGCAACATAATGTAAGCCGTCATAGCCGTTTATGACCGTTAGGGTCATTTCCTTATAGTAACTAGCCCCGTCTCACCTGCCCATGTAGTTGCCGCCATGAAACATTTTCCTCCCACGTATATAGACGTGATGCCAAGGCCTGGGTATTCCTTCAGCTGGATCAACAGGTTAGGAAGAGGTGAGATCAGTTTTCTGGGAAATTCCTTAGCATACTTTTTTGACCATTGTAGACAATGCTGACGAACAGGGATGTAATGTGGATAAAACTGGATAAAGTTCTCTAAGCGAATTAACCTGGCTACAAGACGACGTACCTATTCTTTCATGGAATCTGTGCTGACTCTTCAACTTCTTGATATTTGCTTCTTCCTCTTTGAAGTGCTGTGGATGGAAGAGCTTAGAGGCACTCTGAATCCCAGTGAGAGCCAGGAAGTCATAGACGTTACTCTCGAGTCGTTTGTTCTCCTGTGCATTGAATCTTCCACTTCGCAGGGAAAGGCCTGGGAACAACAGAAGATTCCACAGGGGCTTAACCGATTGGTTCGAAATGATAAAACATATGATAATACATTCAGCCACATCTCTAAACACAGTAACATCTTACATATCATTGCTTACATGTTACATAATGCCGTGATAAACACTCAAAAATATTGAACCATGAGTGGCTGAAGAATAAACGTACCTTGTCTTCGGAATTCCTTGAATCGATCAAGATCATACTTTATCATCTTACGGATCTCATCAACTGACTTTGTCTCTACATTGGGAATGAACTCTTTGAGATCATTCAGAGCCTGCCAGTCACCCACACTGTAGAATAGTGAGGGGAGAAAATCATTAACAAATGTCTAAACATCTGTTTTGAAACCTCTGAGTTGACAGAGAAAGAGAGACATGCCTTCCTCTCTGCACAGGAAGAGGTTCCAGATGAAATTCTGGTACACAGCATTCACAACAGGTCTGGTTTTCACCAGCAAATGCTACTGGGCAATTCCACGGAAACAGAGTGATGCAGAGACAGATTTTTCACTTTAAAATGCATGTCGAACAAAAACCAATGATTGCAAAGTGAAACAAACCATACAATTATGCACAATAACTACTTTTAACAAGTTCCACAGAAAATTTTACAAAAACACATTTACTTGAAGAACAGTGCAGATGCAAATTTTGGTAACAGAATGACGTATGGGGTGTTGGTGCAGTCATTCTGTTACCAAACTTTGCATTGGCACTGTTCTACAAGTAGCCTAAATGTATGTTTGTAAAATGTTCAGTGGAAATGGTTAAAAGTCATCCTTGTGCATAGAGTTGTAAGGTTTGTTAAACTTTTCAATCATTGGTTTTTGTTGGGCATACCTTAAAATGGAAAACCGGAGTCTCAGCATCACTCTTACTGTGGAATTGCCCTACTGTCAATGGTTGTGTTCACTAGGGAAATCACTCATTACAAATACGCTAGATTCACACTTCAATACAAGGGAACCAGGTTTCTTTCTACTCACCTTAGAGTTTCTTCCGTTAGGCTGGGTCTGTTGTGTTGGGTCCCTGTCTCAACCATGGTTGAATGGGCGCCCTCCTCTGTCTCACCGTTTGTTCCAGCATCATGAGTCCTGTTGTCATTTGGAACGGTTAAATCCCAAACATCTACTGCAGACTGAGAGTGGACACTGTCCATTCCCTTGTCTGACTCTCTGCTGTGTTCTTTTTTTCTCCCACTGCCCTGCACAGCTGCAGACCCTCCATCCGTTTTCGGCCTCTTTGACTTCAATTTTCTTTCAGTTTGTTCTTTTATACCTGGAAGGTCTGCTTTATCTGGACAATCGTTCAGTTGACTCTCTCTGAGTTTTTTCTTCTTCCGTTTCCTCCTCTCGTTTACGTTCTCCTCTACCTCAGTTACCACATCTTTACCTCTCTTGACCGTTTCAGTGTGCAGTTCTATGATTTCTGCATCATCTGCTGTTCTTGAAACTCTCTGACAGCTTTCCGCTCCCTCTTCAAGATCTGTTTGTCTGTTCTTGTGCTTCTTCTTACTCTTTCTGGCCTCATCTGGCACTGTTACTGCTGAAACATCTACTGCAGGCTTTGAGAGGTCCCGGTCTATCCCCCCTTCTGGCTCAATGTCATTATGTTTTTTCTTTTTCTTCCTGCTACTCATAATCTCCTCATCAGCAGTCACTCCATCCTCTCCCACCTGTTGTGTTTGAAGATTCTTTGACTTTTTCTTCGTTTTCCCTCCAGTTTGTTCCTCAGGATCTGGTACCTCCATTTCATCTTCAACAACATTTAGTTGATTCTCTTCCTTTCCCTTTTTACGTTTCTTCCTCTCTTTCTCCACCACTTCCAGCTCGGTCACTGTTTGCTCTTTATGTTTAGGTTCTTTACCCCTTTTCTTTACTGTCAATTGGTGAACCTCCTTTTGATTATGCTCAATTGCCGGTTCTTCTGGTCCCCTTTCAGATAGTGCTTTAGTCTTTTTCTTCTTCTTTTTGTCTTTTTTACATCCCTCGACTGTATCAGGTGCCGCTGATGAGATTAATTCAGGAGTTTCTTCAAATAAAAGAGGGGATGTTCGAGACAATTCAAGCAATACGGGATTCTTAATTGCCCCCTGTTCAGTGGATGTCGAAGTCCCCAGCATGGTGGATGCAGCATAACCTATTTTCTCTATCTGTACAGAAATACAATATTAACGTTTATCCATTGTTTCCTAAATGTGAAAGCATGGATAGGCATGAACTTTAGCAGCTAGGTAACGTTAACTAGCTACCATAATTATATTAGCAAAATACGTGCATATGATGCACACGTGTGATCAATGTTGGGATAACTAGCTAGCTGGCTGGCTAGTGGCTACATAACATGTGATAGTTCATCCAAATAGTCTAGCTAGCTAGGTAGCTAGCTGGCTACCTAACGAAAGTAGCGCTAGCTACGTAAATCAAATATGATACAACTCTTTAAAAAACACAAATGTACCTGGTTGAACACGTGGTGAAAGTGAACCCGTAACTTCTTTGGTGACAAAAGTGACATCGACGGAAATCCGGAAATGTAAATCTCTTCTTTGGTGTTAACAATGTATGTGTGTGTGTGACTGTGACCAAAACTAGCTACTGCCACTCTGTGGTGGTGGATGTACTATAGAAATAGAATGAATAGGACGAGTTTGGAACCTCTAACACTGCCAATTTGACTGGTAAACTACACTCGCAATGGCTGCCTGCCTGGTATTCTTCTGCATTCCCGTGTCATTTCCAACAATTAGGATTTATAGGTCTAGATTAGTATTCCCGCTATGACAACACTATAGTTGGGCAGATAATATTTGAAGTTTTCAGAGATCTGTTAATTGTGCTTCTGTTGATAACATTTTTGAGGTTAGGGGATTTTTATGGTGATTTTATGTGGTGATTTTAGGACGCTAAATACAGTCAGCAATGGCCAGCGATGAGTGCTGTGTGTTATAGACAGATATAGATTTGGGTATTCTATTTCTATAGGCCTAACTCAGGTCTAACTCATTATAATAGCCTATATTTTTGTTCTAAAGTAAATGTAGCTATATATCCTTTACAGTATTAGTCTACACAGCCTGAGATTGGTTTGGATTGGTTTGCTGAAAGTCATCCATGCCACGGCGCCCAGTGCTCGGTCTGATGTCCGGTCTGAATACAAGAGAACATGTAGCCTACCGTCTGGAGAGTTAATTAATGATTCATAATTGAAGAGAGAAGTTGTTGTTAGAAATTGCGTAATTCAAATCTGGTATTGGAATAAGAGAAAACATAATCAAGAGATATTCAATCCAAGCTAAATTTATGATATGCAAAATGTATGTATGATAAGTATGATGGTTCGTATACGGGCTCACTGAAATACCACGCAGGGCAGACAGAGAACTGACTTCCTCATTACAAATCCTTCCGTAAATACCCTGACAGTTTTTAGTTCCCACTCTCTGTTGGGCCTATCAGGGTAGAGGTTGGGCGTGGTTTAGACTTGCCCAACCTATCCGTTGGCGCACCGGCTGGTCCCAGCCCCTTGGCGCTCCCTTGTTGCACACTGTTGCCAGGCATACGTTTTTATCATAACAACCTGTGGAGTTAGCACCCAAAAGACTGTACGTACCTACGTCCAAGGACGGTTCACAGACAACGGTTCACAGACAACAAAGAGGCAGTGTTCGTATCTGTAAGAAATACAAGTCTTATCTGTCCTACCCCCTAACGTTCCTTACATGAATCACAGCCTGTTATGTGAAACAATTTATATCAGTATAGTACAAACCTATGCTTATCATTAATGCATTCCTTCTAAGCTATTCATCACATACAGATCCAATTATGAGAAAATAGAACCCCACATTGTCCTGATATTTCTTATACCTATCCACCATGACATACACAATCAATACATCGGCAGCCTTTCAACATTAGGATACAATATGTTCTGTAGCCTAGTGTGGGGATCTATTTTCTCATAACTGGATCTGGATGTGATGAATAGCTTAGAAGGAATGCATTGGTGATTATACATAGAAGGTTTGTACTGTACTGATATGAATTGTTTCACATAACAAGCTGTGATTCATGTGAGGAACGTTAGGGGGTAGGATGAGATAAGAACTTGTGTCTCAAAATACTAGACTACACTGCTTCTTTGTGATCTGTGAACCGTCCTTGAACGTAGGTGCATAGAGTACAGTGGAACGGTGTCTATGGGTGATGAATCTACAGGTTGTTATGATAACAACTTATGCCTGGCAACAGTGTGCAACAGTGGAGCGCCAAGGGTCTGGGACCAGCCTGTGCGCCAACGGATTGGCTGAGTAAGTCTAAACCACGCTCAGTCTCTACTCTGATTGGCCAGCAGGGAGCGGGGAACTATCTCTGTCAGAGTATTTTAAGAAGAACTCATAACAATGGCTTAGTTCTCTGTCTGCCCTGCCGTCAGTGGCGGCTCCTGAAAAAATTCTCAGGGGGGGCAATTTTTCTGATGATTTAGGTGACCTACACACATTTTAAAAAAGATATGTCCAGCAACAACATGAAGACAGGGGCAGCATATAAGTCAATACCAGAAGCATTTATTGACTGATCTCAAAAGTGTTGGCTTACCAGGGTTGGTGGAGCCCTCAGTTTCATCTTTGCCTCGCAAAGCTAACTCAAACACTCCGCAAAACTTCACACACTGGATTAGCCGGCTGAGGATGTGGCGGTTCTTGCTAATGTCGTAGTAAATATATTTGTTATAGTGAATATGGAATATGATATGTTGAGTAAAATGTTGTGCTAAGATCTATTTAGGTCAGGAGCTGGTTATAAGTTCTGTTCCTATCCAATAACAATGGACAAAAGGGTCCTATCTTGTCAGCCTTGTCAGTTTCAGTTCTCCAGTAAACTTGTGATTATCAACACTAACCTCATCGTTGTGGCGGCGGACAGCTAGCCTGTATCCCTCATCCAGTTGAGTGGGAATGTTCACTCTCCCCAAAGCAGACAATCTCAAACAGCTATCCATGTGGGTCTTTGACAGCTCATGTTTCTTAATCTTTCCTGAAAGATGGTGCATGTCCGTTACACACCAGTCGCTGTCCAAGCGGTGCTGTCTGCCGTGCCGCCTTCAGGGTGAAAGAGTAAGCAGGGGGTAGCAGAAGACTGCATTAGCTACATCGCAGCCTGCTAGCCAGGTTTTTCGTTCGTACCAATTTTTGGAAAATCCTCGGGTGTAGGACTTCCCCCCTTTAGTAGAAACCTGTTGAATTATTAAATTTGGTCTGGGAGGTCCTAATTGTTTCGTTGCCAATTTATCTTCATTTGTTCGCCGACAAAAAGGAACTTCTTTCAAAGACACAATCGAGTTGCACTGAAGCCTAGCCATTTTGATAGAAGTAGTGAATTGATTGACGCTGCTACCCGCTCTTTTCTTAGTTACGTTCATGGTTATATGTTACGTATGACGAAAGCGCGTAAGTGCAAGCCCTCAGAAACCCATAGAGATTGTATTGAAAGCTCTGATATTTGAAAAAAATAGATTTTACATGGGAGTCTATTACAGACTTCTGGGCGATTTTCAACCTGACTGAAATCGCCCCAAAAGGGGGGGGGGGGGGGGGGGGGCATTTGAAGCACGACTTTAGCCTGATTGGACATTTAGTGGCACTGTGGCAGATCAGACGTCTAGATTACAACACTGATAACTACTGTTGCCGTGATATAATTGATTAGAAAAAAAATCCCTTCCTTTTCCCGTTTGGCAGTGCGTCGCCCATATCGCCCTATTGAACACACCGCCCCTGCCTGCCGTATATAAGAACATCATATTTACCATTGAAGTGGTGTGTATTAATTAAAATACTAGTCTATTTTAGAAGACGTGTATTGACCTCTTTTGTTCCTAATACCAGATTTGAATTGACGCAACTTAACACTAGATAGGCTATCAGTCTACCTTACACACAAACACACACACACACACACACACACACACACACACACACACAACATAAGCAGTTTAACTTGGTCGAAAATGTTATTTATTAAAGATGATCAAAAAGAATGTGTCGGTAACTCTGCATTATAGTATAACGTATTTATTTTGAACGAAAGCCACGAAACTAGTGTATGAGTGAGTCACTCAGCTTCATGCTGACAAATATCACACTTGACTCAAGTCATTAATAGCTTAGGTCTTGAAAATATGAGCCAAGAGCAGCACCTACCTTTTCCCTCTCAGTAGCCAATGTGTATAAATTACCCAGTGAGCACCGTCGGATGCCGATGGAGGTCTACATATTTTTTTTTTCTGCTCACTGGGGAGACCCATATAGGCGATTTACATGTCGGTTTTTCCTCCCTGTACTCTCTTTCATTCCGTTTATTCTTCACATAGGCAAATAAGGACTCCATGTTTCAGAAACATACGTTACAAAGCCTACTATCACTATTTTCCGCTGCATCCTCCTCTTCTCCCACAACAAGTGAGAAGGGTGCAATCGCAGCCTGCAATTCAGGCCGTTCCTGCATGTGGGCATTCCTGCATCTGCAGGATCCACTCTTTATACTTCTATTGGTCCATTTTTAAGTTAGGACAGGCGGGAGGCTGGGGTGCTCAAATACAGTAGGTGCTGTTAATGCACATAATGTTGGATGCCAACAGCCTATAAACCCCACAGAAGAAGGGGTGGGGGGACAATGGTAGCTAGCTAGCTGTACACCGGTAGACAGTGTCCCTCGCGCCCGTCTGTTGGGCACTGTTTTCCCGCTGTTCTGTTAACGATGGCGAGGGCAGGTGTTCGGCAGGCGGGAGCGAAGGACACTGTGTGCTAACTTTCCCCTTACAAAAAAATTTGCATTCAGAGTGCAGTATGCTGCAAATACTGCGTCCAAAATAATACCGTTTTTTTTTTACTGCAGTAATTATGCAGTGTAACTGCAGTTACAGTGCAGTATAACTGTAGTTCAACTGCAGTACACTGCAGTTATTCTGCAATTACTGCGTCCAAAATACCACAGTCGACTGCAGTTACTGCACTTTTACTGCAGTTTTAAAACTGCAATATTTTTTGTAAGGGAGCCAGCTGTCCTAAGGAGGACTCCGTTACACAGCAGGCAGAAGGCGACACCGGGTGCTAACTAGCTAACTAGCAAGCACACGATGTCGTTAACTATCAAGCTAGCAAGTACCCCAGTGTCGCCCCAGCCTACCGCCTGCTGTGCTAGCGGGAGGCAGGGATGACTGGTAGACGGTAGATGCAGGAATGCCCACATGTAGGAATGCCCCGAATTGCGGGCTGCAGTTTCACACTAATGCAACAAGTAGCCTATTTTACTCTGCATCACGTGCAGTGCGCAGTGGCTCGTGCTCATAGAGCAAATATGGCGAAGGGGACCCCCTGACAATCATTTAAGAGAATAACATGTAAATGTGTGAAATGTGCATTTATGTTGTTAACAAACTAAATTCTTCAAATATAATTTCTAAACTGGTCAGTATTTCACATTTTCACACAGACCCGAGGTGCGTGGCCACAGAGCAGGATCCAACCCAGGATCCAAGGGTCAACTA